AGGTCCTGGGATCGAGCCCTGCATCGGGCTCTCTGCTCAGCGGGGAGCCTGCTTCCCTTCCTCTCTCTCTCCCTGCCTCTTGCCTACTTGTGATCTCTGTCAAATAAATAAATAAAATCTTTAAAAAAAAATAAAATAAAAATAAAAACTGCCTCATTCGGGGCACCTGGGTGGCTCAGTGGGTAAAGCCTCTGCCTTCAGCTCAGGTCATGATCCCAGGGTCCTGGGATTGAGCCCTGCATCGGGCTCTCTGTTCCGTGGGGAGCCTGCTTCCCCCTCTCTCTGCCTGCCTCTCTGCCTACTTGTGATCTCTCTCTCTGTCAAATAAATAAATAAAATCTTAAAAAAAAAAATCTAAAGCAATCTACAGATTCACTTCAACACCTATAAGAATCTCAATGTTTTCCAGAAATAGAAAAATTCACCCTAAAATTCATATGGAATCTCAAGGGATCCTGAATAGCCAAAATTATCTTTTTTTTTTTTTTTTTAAGATTTTATTTATTTGTTTGACAGACAGAGATCACAAGTAGGCAGAGAGGCAGGCGGGGGTGGGGGGAAGCAGGCTCGCAGCTAAGCAGAGAGTCTGATGCGGGGCTTGATCCCGGGACCTGAGCTGAAGGCAGAGGCTTTAACTCACTGAGCCACCCAGGTACCCCATGAATAGCCAAAATAATCTTTAAAAAGAAAAGCAAAGTTGGGAGACTCATATTTCTTAATTTCAAAACTTATTACAAACTATAGTAGTAAAAAAAACAGTGGGGTATTGGCGTAAAAACAGATATATAGACCAATGGAATAAAATAAAAGGCCAGAAATAAACCATTGTGTATATGGTTAAATGATGTTTAGCAAAGATATCAAGTCCATTCAATGGGAGAAAGTGCAGTCTTTTCAACAAATAATGCTGAGAAAACTGGATATCCAGTTTTCTGAATATGCAAAAAAATGAAGCTGGACCCTTACCTTACACCATATAAAAAGTTAATTCCAAAAGGATCAAAGACTTAATTACAAGGGCAATAAATGTAGACTCTTTGAAGAAAACACATGGGAAAAATTCATAATATTGACTTTGGCAAGGACTGCTTGGATATGACACCAAAAGTTTAGGCAACAATAGATAAAAGAGATAAACCGGCCTTCATCAAAACTGAAAACTTTCGTGCATCAAAGGGCACTGTTGAAAGAGTGAAAGCAGAATCCACAGAATGGGAGAAAATATTTACAAATCCTGTATCTGACTAGGAATTAATATCCAGAATATACAAGGCACTCCTACAACAAAAGGGCAAACGACCAATTCAGAAATGGCAAAGTATTTGAATAAATGTTTCTCCAAAGATATACAAATAGCTAAAAAGCACATGAAGATGCTCAAGATCACTAGCCAGTAGGGAGGTGGAAATCTAAACCACAACGGTATCATTCTGCACCCCGCTAGGATGGTTACTATAAAAACAAAAAACAAAGTAAGTGTCAGTAAGGATGTGAAAACTTAGAATCCTTGTGCATTGCTGGTGGCAATGTAAAAAAAAAAAAAAAAAGTGGAAAACAGATGAGCATCTCCAAACTGTTAAAGACAGAATGACCATATGATCAGGCAGTTCCACTTCTGGGTATATTCCTCAAAAAACTGAAAGTGGGGACTCAAACAGATACTTGTACATCAATGTTCATAACAGCATTGCTCGCAACAGACAAAAGGTGAAAACAACACAAGGATCCATTAACAGATGAATGGAGCAGCAAAATGCAGTAAATACACAATGGAATATTATTCAGTCTTAAAAGGAATATATCATATAATATGGATGAAACTTGAAAACATGCTAACAAAATAAACCAGACACAAAAGGACAAATATGACATGAATCATCTTTTATGTGTTTTCTAGAACAGGCAAATTCATAGAAACAGGAAGTAGAACAGTGGTTATTAGTAGAATAGTGGTTACTAGGAGAAGGGGGAATGAGAAGTCTGTTTAATTGGTACAGAGCTTCAGTTTGGGATGATGATAAAGTTCTAGAAATAGTGCTAATAATTGCACAACTCTGTGAATATACTTAATGCCACTGAATTGTACACTTAAAAATAGTTAAAATGGGGGGGGCACCTGGCTGGCTCAGGTGAGTAAGAGCGTGTGACTCTTGATCTCAGGGTTGTAAGCTCAAGTCCCAAGTTGGGCAACCGACTCTTGATTTTGGCTCAGGTTGTGACTTCAGGGTTGTGGGATTGAGCCCCACCTCGGGCTCTATGCTCAGTGTGGAATCTGCTTGTCTCTCCTCTCCCTCAACTCCTCCCAAATAAATAAATAAGATCTTAAAAATTAACAAAGAAATCTTTAAAAAAAAAAAATCATTAAAATGGTAAGCTTAGGGGCGCCTGGGTGGCTCAGTGGGTTAAGCCTCTGCCTTCAGCTCAGGTCATGATCCCAGGGTCCTGGGATCGAGCCCCGCGTAGGGCTCTCTGCTCCGCAGGGAGCCTGCCTCCACCTCTCTCTCTGCCTGCCTCTCTGCCTACTTGTGATCTGTCTGTCAAATAAATTAAAAAAAATAATAATAAAATAAAATCTTTTAAAAAAATGGTAAGTTTATGCTATATATGTTTTACTACAATTTTAAAAATATCCTGGACAGGAAATAAAATAGGATATGTAACATATAAACTTAAAATACGTGCCAATAAAATAGTGTTTGTATTTCAAGAGCATGTATTAACGAATTACTACAATTAGTAAGAGACAATAACTCAAATTCTTCTTTTAAAGAGATTTATTTATTTACCTGAGAGAGAGCACACATGCACACATGAGTGGACAGAGCAGAGGGAGAGAGCATCCAGGGGGGCCTCACTGCTGACCACGGAGCCTGATGTGGGGCTCAGTCTCATGACTCTGAGATCATGACCTGAGCTGAAATCAAGAGTTAGATGCTTAACTGACTGAGCCACTCAGGTGTCCCAATCACTCAAACTCTGCAGTTGATCTAACAATGCAGCGCTGTTTCCACCAATACCCTAATGGTATCTTTCTGTGAAACTGGACAAGGTGATCCTAAAATTTACATAAAACGGCAACTGGTTAAAAATAGCTCAAGACACTCTTGAAGAAAAACAACGTAAAAGTATCTCATTTATTAGATATTAAGATTATAAAATTATCATAATTACAACAGTGAGGTAATTAAGGCATTGTGTTAAGATAGCATATGTAATGACAGACCAACGGAATGTTTTAGAGAGCCTGGAAACAGGCCTAAGTACACAGACAGTTGATTTATAGTAAAAATGGTGTTCAAGAGCAGTGGAGAAAGTAGTGTTTTCAATAATTAATGCTAGGAAAACTGGATAGTCATACAGAAAAGAAAAAAACTCAGTTACTACCTAACATAATACACAACATAAATCACGTATCTGTGTCTGTAACATAAAATAGTGAAAGTTTGCGAGGAAATACATGGGAAACATCTCCCATCTATTATATTGTCATAATAAACAGGAGAGAAAATAAAAAAGGAAAATATTGGTAACTTTAAACCCGTTGGGGCACCTAGATTGCTCAGACGTTAAGCATCTGCCTTCAGCCCAGGTCATGATCCTGGGGGTCCTGGGATGGAGCACCACATTGGGCTCCCTGCTCAGTAGGAAGCCTGCTTCTCCTTCTTCCACTCCCTCTGCTTGTGTTCCCTCTCTCACTCTCTCTGTCAAACAAATAAATAAAATCTTAAAAAAATTTTTTTTTAAACCTGTTAAAATTTAGACTGTTCCTCCCTGTGTTCACTAACCCCAAACTTCCCAATCCTGTCTCAATTCCTACCAGTTCCCCAATTTGAAAGACCCAACTTAAACCAACAGAGCCCTTACCCCAAATCTCTAAAAATAACCTAATACCCCCTCCCCTTTTAAAGACTGTACTTATTTATGACAGAGAGAGATAGTGAGAGAAGGAACACAAGCACAGGGGAGCTGCAGAGGAAGAAGCAGGCTCCCCGATGAGCAGGGAGCCCGATATGGGGCTTGATCCCAGGACTCTGGGATGATGATCTGAGCAGAGGAAAGGCAGACGCTCAACTGACTGAGCGACCCAGGTGCCCCGTATCCCCCACTTTTCCAAAAAAAGATTTATTCATTGGTGGGGGGGGCAAGCACAAGCCAGGGGAAGGGCAGAGGGAGAAGCAGACTCCCCACGGAGCGGGGAGCCTGAGGTGGGGGGGCGCTCAATCCCAGGCCCCTGCATGACCTGAAGCTCCATCCCAGGACCCTGGGATCATCACCTGAGCTGAAGGCAGACCCTTAACCAACTGAGTCAGCCAGGCGCCCCAACATCCCCCTTCTGAATTCTCACCAAGATTGTATTAAGTTGATGTGCTTCCTTGCTACAGGTTTAATAACTCAGTTTTGTTTGATAAACAGGTCTCCTTGATGGTCTTTGTGGGTGAATAAAAAATTGACAGTCCTTCCCTTTTTAAGATATATACTGAAATTTTTATAGAAGAAAGGGTTTAACATCTGAGATCTGCTCCAAGATTAATTAAAGAAATAGAGAAATTATGTAGGGATAGTTAAGAGCAATCATAAATTGTTGAAGGTGTGTAGTGGTATATGGGAATTCATTATATTACTCTAATTTTATGTTTTAAATCCACCATAATAATTATAAAAACTTATTTTTCTCTTTTTTTTGTCCTAAGAGGGCATGTTCATTAAGGTCACAAAAGAGTTACAATATCTGACTGTGACTGCCAGGCTCACACCCAGGAAGCACCTAGCCAATGATAACCGAACTCACACTGGATTTTGGAGTTCCACCTTGGATGGAAGGTAGAGAGGGGCAAAGTAGTAGCAGATTTGAACTAATTCTTTTTAATCTCCTCCTACTACAACCTTGTAATGTAGAACTAAGAGCAGATATTAACTTAAATCTGACATTTAAGTCTTGATTAAAACAAAAAAGAGGGTAGGGAATATTTTTCTGTGCTTTCTTTATTCAGAGAGTGAAACTGTTATAGTCAGCTAGATTCTTAGTTGTGCTTAGAATGTGCTCCCTCCTACAATTTACTCCGGAAAAATGAAGCTTCTTATTCTTTCTTAGAGCCGTGGACCCTGAAATTGGCAGTTACTACGATTCCACATACATGCGGAGTGATGCCCAGTTTGAGGCTCTGAGTAGCTGGTCATGTAAGTTGACTTTTCTGTGCATTTGTACCGAGGAGGATCCAGTTCTGGTTGATGTCCTGGAAACCAGTGAGGCTCTCTCTTAAATCCTGAGGAAAGAGAGAATAGAAGAGAAGGAAAGACAAGTGGAATCAGTCAAGAACAAGGACCCTTAGTAACTGGTCTTGCTCTTATTTCTGAGGTAAAATTTCCAAGTCTAGTGAGTCTTGTAAAAATTGAGAAAGAAGAATCAGGGGCATCAGGGGCTCAGTTGGTTAAGAGTCTGCCTTTGGTTCAGGTCATGATCCCTGGGTCCTGGGATCAACTCCTGCATTGGGCTCCCTGCTCTGTGGGGAAGGTTCTTCTCCCTCTCCCCCTGCCTGCCGCTCCCCCTGCATGTGCACATGCTCTCTCTGTCAAATAAATAAATAAAATCTTTAAAAAAAGAGAAAAATCATTTACTTATTCACTCATTCAGTTTACTTCTATTTGAGCTCCTTCCATGTTCCAGGCACTGAGCTATGTCCTGAGAATATAAAGATTGAAAAGAACAGTCCACCTACTATGAGTTGAAAGTGGCATTTTGTTGTTGTAGCTCAAATCATATGTTGTTTCAAAGTAGTGTCCAAACTGGAAAGAAAAAGTAATCAGTTAAAAATATAGGAGTCTACACTTAATGATAGGAAAAAAAGGACACAATGACATGAATTTTAACAGACTCTGTCATATTTTGGATTAACTAGAGGTCTATATGTTGTTCGTCTACAGTCTATTAACTTTCATATCCTTTGTTTACTTGTTTGTTAGGAGACACTTAAGGGCAAAATGCAGATAAATTACAAGTCTAGGTAGGCAGCCTGAGTCAGAAGACATATATGTAAAAGGGTACTGCTCATACTTTTACTACTTTGCTATTCTACTTGATAGTAAAATAAGACAGCCAGTTTAGCTAAAGAATGCTGTCCACCCCCAACCACCTCACTGAACAGAGAAGCCCGAGAGGTCTCAGCATGGAAGTTATTAGATTCCTACCTCTAAAATGGCCAGTGGCATTTCTTTTGCTAAGGGAAGGAAACAGAAGAGAACGTTAGATTACCTGGGAAGGCAAGGGTTTGGGCTTCACAATATTCCTTAGGTCATATCTTTCCTGATTCCAGTTTCCCATCAGGGTACAGTTTGAATAGGCATTCTCATTAGTGGTACATCTCCATCCATACTGGAAAAACTTGGATGTATCATTCCAATCTGTCCATACTTCCGCATGGCCATCTGCATTAATGAGGCTGCCATAGTGTGGGTTTGCTAGGAAATAGGCAAGGTGCTGTCTCTGCAAAAAGGTGAGAACAGAAAAGCTAGTTGCAAAAACTAGGAACAGAAAAGGCATTCATCCCTTTCTCACCCTTGGCCAAGTATAACATAAGCCCATCTTACTAAGGATCTAGGCTTTCTTCCCAATATAATAGTGGTTCTGCTTCTTCTCCCCTGGCCCATGAATCCTTTGATCTACTCAATCAAAAGTAGCACATGGCTATGTACAGTAAATGCCACCCCCCAAAAGACAGGAAAACCTTTAGTATCCCCAATACTATATGGAAAACTAGTTGTATGTTCAGGAACTTTTGAGATGTAGGAGTTTAAGGACTAAGGATATTGCTATAGTCAAAGAGAATAGGGAAAAGTGAAAGTTGGATAAGTAGATAACACAACAAAGGGTCAATAAACGAGTTTCCTTCTTTCTGGACTCAGCTCAAATGCCACTTCTTACATGGTATCTTCCAAGTTAACTTCTTTCCTTTGTCTCACACAGCATGGAATCTTTATACCTTTAGCTTTCTATCATATGTTAGAATTCTTCAAGAACGTGTTGAATCTCCTATGTTGAACTGTACATCCCTTGAGGACAGGCCCTGGTCTTATTATCATACCCTCTCCTTCTGCCAGCTCTCCCAATCAATGGTGCTTTGCACATATCAGGTGACCAATGTCTGAATTTCAATCTTTTGTAAGGAATCAAAAGCCTAGCCATTTTTATTTTGGGCCAAAAATGACTGTGCTCCCTTGGCTTGGGGGCAAGACAATACCTTCACTGGAGAAGAGCATTTTGATGCTGAGTGGCTTGTGTTGTTTGAGGAATTTGTAGGAAAGTGACAGAAAGTATTATTCAGCTGTTCCATTTTCTTTAAAGGAAGAGGTATCACCAAACTTGGCTTTCCCGTTCTCCAAGCAAATGAGGAATGTAGGTCACACCGATCACCATGGCCGGGAGGCCATGATTTGGAAGTCACCACCCACCTAGCCACCTTTCCACAGGTAGGGACAAAGTCAATACTGTAGCCCTCATACCATGTACCTTTGTGAAGAGAGATGTGTGCACTGATGTCAACAAATAGCATGATGACTAAAGAGTAATTCCTGCAAAGTCTGACAAGCCTAGTACTCACACTGCAGACCAAGGTGACACCTTCCTTGGGGCTGTAAAGACAGGCATCACCATCCACTCAGTTGCCCAAGCCCAAAACATGAGGCTCATCTTTAACTCTGAATTCTCTTTCAATGCCTTATGTCTATTCAAACTCTAGGTCTTACTGATTTTTGAATTAGACCACTACCCTCCAACCCCACTGCCAATTTCCAGTTTAGATCACTACCAGCTTTTGTCAACATTCTTGGTGTAGTTGCCTCTCTGATCTCTGTGCCATCAGCCTTGGTCTTCTCCAATCCTTTTTCTATAGGAAAGAAGAATAGTGTGAAAATGAAAATCTAATTGTGCTATCTTCCTATTTAAAAGCTGGCCACTGTTACAATAAGACTCAGGCTGTTAAAATGGCTTACGATGTTCTTTATGACCTGGCTCCTGCTTAAGTCTTCCTTCTCCTCTGTTACCCACTCTCCCTCCAACTACATTTCAGCCAAACTCAACTCTTCTGTTTCTCCATCAAGCATTTGCAAATACTGTTCCTCCTGCCTCTTCACTTATATTTACCCAGGTCAGGTGTACACTCCCTTTCCCCCCTTAAACTTTTTTTTTTTTTTAAAGATTTTATTTATTTGAGCGAGAGAGAGAACAAGCAGGGGGAGCAGCAGGCAGAGGGAAGGGAGAAGCAGATGCCTCCCTGAGCAGGGAGCCTGATGCAGAGTTCATCCCAGGACGCTGGGATCATGACCTGAGCAGAAGGCAGACTCTTAAGTGACTGAGTCCCCCAGAATTCAGGTTCACTTCATTTAGGGAATCTTTCCACTTCCTCCCAGAAGTTGGTGAGGTTCTAAATCCTTCTGTGCCCTACAGCACCCTGAATGACTCCTCATAGCACCGCATCCCGTTGTGCCAGAATTGCCTCTTTTGCTGTGCAGTCTCCATCACACTTGAAGTTCAGGCCACATCTTATTCATCCATGTACTTAGCCGCCCTCACAGTGGCCTCACACACAACGGGCACTCAGTATTTCCTGAATGAATAAAAGGTAGGAGATAGAAGCACCTGGAGAAATCCCGAGCAGCAGAGACAATGGACAGTAGCCATTTCAGACGCGAGGAGGCTACCCTCTGTGACAGCAACAAGCAGGACACAGCCCAACCTCTCGACTTCAGCCCCGCCCTGTTCCTTTCACTCAGAACTCGCCTCTCCCGGGGTCTGTCCCCGTGCGGTAGTGACTGCTTGTGACCTCACGCAGGTGTGACGAAATCGCTCGCGGCAGTCGTCGGGCAAAAAGGCGTTTATTTTAACACTCCTGAAGGTGTGAAGGAGTGAGGGGACAGAGTGATCGATGTCTCGCGTTCGCTCTCACGCCTATTTCCCCCTCTGAAGCCGCGGCACCAGTTTCTCAAGACTACTGGACGCTGTCGGTGCATCATCAATCAGCGACGCAGGAAGAAGAGGCCCGCAGGGTCCCCCACGGAGGAAGTGACGTAAGAAACTGGCGCCTCCGAGGACGCGAGCGAGGAGCTGGTTGAGGCCATGGCCCCTCGGCGCCTCCTGTTGGTTGGGGAGGGTAATTTCTCCTTCGCCGCCGCTCTGAGCGAGACCCTGGATGAGTGCACCCGTGTAACCGCCACCTGCCTCCAGCGCTTGGCCGACGTGGCCGGGAATCCGGTGGCCCGGGAGAATCTGCAGCGCCTGCGCGAGCGAGGTAGCGAGGCCAACCCCTCCGCGCAGCAGCCCCCCCGCCCCGCCCCGCTGCTGGCGCGGCCCGAACTGGAAAGGGAGGGGAGGTGTAGGTTGCTTTTGAGCGTCCGGTTCCCTGAAAACCGGCTGTGGGCTTGGACCGGGGTTGTCTTGCACGGTCCAAGTTAGGGAGGGATTCAGGTTTTGAGACACCCATCTGTCTATATTTCGTGCCAGGTACTGAGGTGCGTTTTGGTGTGGACTGCACCCAGCTGGCAGATGCCTTCAAACCGCAGCATAGGGAGTTTGATCGAATTTATTTTAATTTTCCGCACTGTGGACGAAAAGCTGGAGTAGCTAAGAACCGGGAACTGCTTGCCAAGTTTTTCCAGAGGTGAGGAAATGAGACCACTCACAAGTAAAATGTTTAAGATGGACCTTGCATAGTTACTGCACTCACACATTTTAGTCTGGGAAATAAGGCATATGTGTTTAAGTTACTGCGATAGGTTGAGAGAGCCTATGAAGCTCCAGAGGAACCCACAATCTAGTTGGGAAGGCAGACATGGAACCCTAAATGTTAAATAAAAGTACAAATAGTGTGTAAGCTTTTGGGCGTGTTAAAGAAGGATCACTCACCTATTTGGGATAATGCAGAATAATGGTAGCCAGAATAATCTAATGGCTAAAAGCATGGATTCAAAATCCCCACCCACCACTTATAGTTGTGTGATTTGGGGTAAGCTTATTTGGGCCTTACTTGCTTTTGCTTCTTTATCCATAAACTGAGGATATTTACAGTAACTACCTCAAATTAATGTGAACTTAAAAGAGTGCTTTAGGGACACCTGGGTCGCCCAGTTGTTGGGCATCTGCCTTCTGCTCAGGTCATGGTCCCAGGATCCAGCCCCACATGGGGCTCCCTGCTCAGTGGAGACCCTGCTTCTTCCTCTCCCACTCCCCTTGCTTGTGTTCCCTCTCTCGCTATGTCTCTCTCTGTCAAATAAAGAAATAAAATTTTAAAAAACCAAAACAAACCAACCCAGTGCTTTCCACTATTATACCAAAACACGTGGTACTCTTGGAGGTCTCTAGAGGCCATAGTTGTCAAGAAACTTTTCACACAGCCAAGGTTTTAAGTTAGTATTTGAAATACAGAATTTTAATAGGAAGGGAGTGAAAAGATCAGCTTTCTAAACTGGGAAGAACAGCCCAGTCAGTGAATCATGTATAGGAACTTGGCAGACACTGACCTTTCTATGACATTAGATGAACAATGCAGTTACATAAGCCACTGGTCAGCCACTAGTATCAGTTATGAGTTTTGAACACAGAATTTACATTCTTACTTCTTCCTCTGCCTGTTTGAAATCTATAGACCTTTGTAAATAGATACGATTGGATTTTAATTATTTCACAGCCGAAGTAGGTATATACAATTTTCTTCTTATGATAACTTCAACTTATTTCTGATAAACGGCTAATGTGCTCCTCTCCCTGTTAGCTGTAAGGATGTTCTTGCAAATGAAGGAGAAGTCCATGTGGCGTTGTGCAGAGGACAAGGTGGGACTCCTGCTGATAAGCCCAGGAGAGAATGGCACAACAGCTGGCAAGTGGTTGCTATGGCAGCTCTGGGGGGATTCATTTTAAGTGACGTGCATCCCTTCGGCTGTGAGGCTGTGCCAGGGTACAAGTGTACTGGATATAGGTGAGTAATAACAGACATTTAAGCCTTTTTCATCTCTTATACTAATAATGAAAAAAATCTTAGGCCAACTTTCCCCTACCAATTTCCTGCTTTGGTCTCTAAAAATACTTGCTTTTAAAAATAATGACAATATATTAATTAATTAAGAAAATGACAGACTCCATACTTGGTGACTCTTTTGCCAGGAGTCAAGATAAGCCCTTTCATGTAGAAGGCGCTTTGAACCATATCTTCACCCGGAGCTTACCCTTTGAAGGTTCACAACCCAGAATCTTCAGGATCAAACTCGGTGACCAGTGGTTTTCCTTTCCAGAACCAGAAGCACTTGTAGGAAAGTTGAACAGGTAACCTGCTGTTTTACCAGAAATTACTTCTATCTCTAGCTGTATCCTGATTGGCTTGATGCCAACCGTGTATTGAATGGATGCTATATCAATTGTTAATGATGTTGGTGCTATGAATACTTGTCAGTCTAGCCTTAAACAAGCCTTTTTAGAATTAAAATTTGTCTGTTATATCATACAAATGGTGGCTGTCAGAGTTCTGAAACACATGGTATCTGTTTCTGGTAGGTAATTTTTTAAATTTGCTTTTAGGATCATTTTAAGGAAAATTCTTTTCTATATTCTTTGTGCTTTTAATTCTAGATCCATTATAATCATTTATTATTTGAAGTTAAAAAGTTATTTTTGTGTGTGTTTAAACAGAGATTTCCTAGCAGCGCCTTCATGTCATCCTATCAAAACCATTAATGAGAAACTCATTGCTGAATTGGGCAAAGCTTTCCCTCTGAAGAGGCTGAAGTGTTCCTTCCCTTTGCTGCCAGAGGGAAGCCCTAGTGTTCTCACTTCCTGGAACTGTGACAGTTTGTCAGCTGCCTTTTGGATTAGTCTCTGTGAAGATAACTCAAATTCTGAGTCCCTGACTAGTGGGACAACACAAGACATGGAGGACTTCCTGGAGTTATTTTCAGAATTTAGCCTTCTCAAGGATTCTGGAAGAGACAGGAAGCAAGAAGCTCATGAAGAAATCTGTGGCCAAACCAAGGTCTGCCTTAGACCTTCTCTCCTAGTTCATGTTCAGGCTGTCATCCGAGCACCAGACTTCCTCCCAGGTTCCCTGCACGTCCTCAGCGGACCTGTCTT